AAGCCAATTGTCTCTCAACTTCTACACTGTAAGTAATTCAGTGTTACCGCTACCTTATAAACTCCCATGCAAAGCCGATGCTTTTCCATACTTCCTCCCTCTGTCTCAGAGGGCTTCACGCAGCACCTTCTGTACAATATTCACTCATCTGACTGATAAGGGTCTGTTTCCTCTAAGAACAAAAATCAAAACATACCCTATTTTTCATTCTTGCATTTTTTGGGTGCTAAAAAAATCACAGGTACCAACTTTGGAAATGTACCAGAAATAGCATTTTATCTGTTGTGTTTGCAGTGAAATCTTGTTTGTGCTAATGGATTAATATAAGATTGCCTATCCTTCTTCCAATGTTCCCTCTTCCAGTGTTTTGTTAGGAAACTAACAAAACTTTAGAAGCCTGGAGACCGTTCATCAAAAGTGGTGACGTTTAAGATTAACTACAGGGTGATACTCTAGAAGCTCAGAGCTGATTAGAAAATACTAGAATAAAAAGCCTTAACATGTCTGCATGAACACAAATAACCCATTTTGGTTTTCATATCAGATGTCACCCTGTTGAACTTGAGTCTTCTGCATTTATAATTTAGCTACTCAAACAAGAAATAAAGCAAAGAAGGTAAGAAAATTATCTTCGAGAACTGTGAGGAAATTAGTTTGTCTCCCATCAGCTATTTTTTGTAGGAGAGAGGAAAAATTCCATTTTCTTCCCCCTGATCTTGGCTGGAGCGGTTAACAAAAAGGGTTTTCCAACTCTGTAAAGTCAAAGAAATGAGACTCCAGTGGCCGTAACTGAGCTTCCCTGAGCTTCCCTTCAGATTACGGACCAAGCCCCCCCTCCCTTTTCCCCCCACTGTGGATAATGTGAGTTCTTTGTGATTTATCTGCAGCCGGTTTCTTTTACAACGTGGGCCTGTATAAATTCGAGTTAGAACTAGGGCCAGCGATTCTGGAAGCAGCACCCAGAGGCAGACAGGATGGACCGGGCAGGCACCTGAACACCCTCCCGTGGCCCCGACACTCCCAGCGGTGAGGCCCACTCTGTGTCTGGGTGCAGATGGGGACCCGTTAGCGCCGGGGAAGACCATTACCGAGCTCCCTTGGAATCCACCCCCAACCCCATGACCGAGTGTGCGGCTTCGTTCTCGCCCTTGGTGTTAACTTCTCACGCGTGTTTCTGATCTAGCCTGAGGCTCGGCCCTGGCAGGACCAGGGAGACTTGGCCCAGCTCTGTTTGGCCGGGTTCTGAGCAGCCATGGTGACGCGGGCCTTTCTCCTGCTGGCCATCTTCGTGAGAGCATCTGCGAGATCATGCACACCGAACAAAGCAGGTACACCCCCGGCCAGCCTCGGAAAGGCGTTTTAACAAACTGTATCTTTAAATGTGGCTAGAGCCCTGTGTTCTAATATGAATGCCCTACCTGATTTCACATCTTTCCAGATGTCATTCTTGTATTTTGTTACCCCAAAACCATCATCACCAAGATCCCCGAGTGTCCCTATGGATGGGAAGTGCACCAACTGGCACTTGGAGGGCTGTGTTACAATGGGGTCCACGAAGGAGGTTACTATCAATTTGTTATCCCAGATTTGTCACCTAAAAACAAGTCCTATTGTGGAACTCAGTCTGAGGTAAGTCCAGACACACGCTGGGAATCACTACGAGGTCTGCTGTCTGCCTGAAAAAGATTAAGAGTTTTCCAATTTCTTTGGAAGAATCAATTCTGGTTCTTATTTTCTGTGATGTTAATGATACTCAGTTTCTTCTCCTCTGCTTGGTTTTGATGTCTCTCTTTGGATTTGAGTTTTATTTTCTTAATTTGTTACTGGAAACAGATAAATCACCTTCTGTGAGTAAGCAAAGCATATTTCCTACCTTTACCTATTTCAGGTTCTGAGTACGTCTTGGGTTGGGTGGATGAGACACCCCGTGCCCAAGACTTTGAAGGGGCCACAAAGTGCATTTTGAATGGTATTTACTTTAAAGGAGTGACCAAAGAGTAGTCCCACTCATAATTGGGTCTTGTGAATGATCCAGGACAGGAAATCAGAACTAAAATGAATGACAGACAGCCTCTTTTCAAGCATCCTGATAAAACAGAGAAATCCCAATAAAATCATTGGTTGAGGATCACAGAAGTAGAGGGGTGTAGTTATGAAGGGAGAGAGTCTTCTGATGCTCTTGCTGAAATCTAGTATTCCTCTGCCAGATTGTAATCTGCTGGGTCTCAGAAAATGAGACCTCAAGTCCCTACAAAGTAATAGAGATTTAGTGCGAAGAGTCAAAGGCATAATTAACAAAGACTATCTCTGGAAATTCTGGTAAAGTGAACTAAGAATTATTTGTGTGTCACAGGTAGGTCACTTCTTAAGTGGATGTTCAAGAGCCCTTCTGGCTCCAATACTCTGTAACTTCAGAGTCCAAGTCAGGGGGAAGAGCTAGAAAAAGTGCTCAGGATTGGAAGAAGGAAAAATCAAAGTAATCAGTGACAGTCTGGAAAAGGGAGCTGAGCAAAGGCAGTCACTTAAGACGACTTGGGAAAGAAGTAAAACGTTGACACTGAGGAACAGAGATTCTTGGGTCATTTCTTTCTGATTAGAAGTACAACAGGATATGGATTTATTTTAAGCATACATCATTAAACTGAGATTATTGTCAATAAGCCTTGTTGAACCGTCTCAACGACTCTACAAATATGATCAACTCACCCACAGGTTAAAAGAAAAGATAAGTGCTACTGTCAATGGAGACACTCATCTCCCCACTGGGCTTTTTCTACACCATCTTCTTCCATCTTTTCCAGAATCCTCATTCCCATCTTGGGGACGTGGGGCTACCCTAACTGCCTTCTTCCTTTCTCCAGTACAAGCCCCCCATCTACCACTTCTATAGCCACATCGTTTCCAATGACAGCCAGGTGATCGTGAAGAACCAGCCTGTCAACTACTCCTTCTCCTGCACCTACCATTCCACCTACTTGGTGAACCAGGCTGCCTTTGACCAGAGGTAAGTTGCTCTGCTGGGTGGAGGGCTGGCTGCTTGTCTGTGTTCTGCAGTCCCTGTCAACCAGGCATGTTTCAGTCCTTATGCAAAATTCTCTCCCCTTTTCAGAGTGGCCACCGTCCACGTGAAGAATGGGAGCATGGGCACATTTGAAAGCCAATTGTCTCTCAACTTCTACACTGTAAGTGGTTTCCAGGCCCCATTTCTGCTCTGAGACCTTTCCAGATGTTGGGGTACTGCTTCAGGATTAGTTCTTCACTGAGACGATGCAGATCCTCATTCTTGAATTCAATTGGAGATGTAAGCTTGTGTCCAGCTTTAAACCTCTTTTAAAGACTAGCTACAGCAGAAAGTCAGATTTAGAAAAGTTAGAAAAGTTGAGAAGTGCTACAGAGCTATAAGATCAATCTTCTCATCTTACTGATAAGAAAAATTAAGGCAAGAGAAACCCTGTGGGTTGCTGAAGGTCCATATGACAGCCGTTGTCTAACTCTTCATCAAGATTAGCTTGCAGTCCACTCTGGAAATTTACATTTAAGATCCAGAACATATTAAAACACTGGACACAAAGTAGTGAGTGGTATGGCCAAGGGGATTAGGGTTGGCCTCTGCTGTCTAGTTCTTTGGCCTCCAAAATCCCTCCATTAGTGGGCTTCCTTGCTGTCAAATTTGGCTGCCTAGGTTGACATTGAAGCCAAAGGCACATTTTGGTGTCTCATAATAAAGTGTGCCAGAGAAACATCACAGTCAGTATCCCCTGGCCCAGTTTCCCCCTGTTGAGAAGAGGGGGGGGGTTGTCTTTAATCCTGAAGCTTCTGGGAGTAACCCAGCTGGTAGAGGAAGATGCAGACAGAAATAGAAACCTTTACATAGGACATGGGAACTGGGCGATATCCTCAGCAGACACTATGCCCAACCCATTCACTTCACACAACAAACAACTGTACTACCTGGGATACTACTCACCATGATCTCTTTGAACTTGCATTTCCAGCTCCCTGGGGGCTATTAGTTTTGCTGCACTTAGAAGATTAGAGTTAGATGGGATTGTAGAATAAGCTAGTCCACCTACAGATGAGGCTCTAAAGCCCAGAAGAAGCAAATGATCTGTCCAAGATCCAGCAGGTAGTTGAGAGCTATACCCGGTCTGGACCCAGATCACCTAATCTTGATCTCTGGGGCACATTTACTACTCGGAAAGAACCTTAAGTTTCATGACCTCTTAGTTGCACGGGTGCCTTTCCAGTGCTGTGTCCAGTTTTGTCTACAACATTTTGATTCCTTTTGTTATTAAAGAGGGCTCTCTGAGTTATACAAGCTACAGGGTCCCACAAAATCTACACCTACCCCTGGCCACACATCACTAGAGGCTGAGTCCTGAGGAAATGAATCATGTATAGCTCCTTGACCTGTCATCAGGGAGATTCATAGAGCAGGGACTACCAAGTCATGGACATTGGCAGGATCACTGTAGCAGCTGATAAAGTTGTCCAGAAAGGATAAGGGCTTCGCACACTGACCTCAGTCTCAGGAGCATCCTGAGCAAAGGCTGGTTTAACTCTACATCCCTACCAGGAAGTGTGTGACTGTTGTTTTAAGCAAGTAAAATGATAGATAGGCTCCTATAAGGGGTTTATGACATCAGGAAATGGAAAGACACCAGGGTTGTCAAAAATCATCAGCCACAATATCAAAAAACATCAGTCATGTTGAACAAGTTTTTTGACATAACTAGCAAATCTTAGAATGTTTTAAAGGAAAAAATGGGAAAGAAGAAAGAGGCGTGTCCTTGGCATCTCCCAGGCCATTCTCTGAACTAGACAGACGTAACAGTAGGCTTCCTTGAACTGTTCTGGAAATGAGGCTAAGACTCCCAAGGGGTCCCCCAAGACACTTTCAGGAGAAAAGGACCTCAGCAAAGAGGGGACTCTGATGTTACAATAGAGATTTTTGCACCGATTAATATTCCCACCATGGACTTGGTTTCCTATGCCTGACCCACGGTTGGCATTTTTCTTCTCCCCACTTCTTCCGCTTTGAGAGCATTCTTGTGTGTTTCTGAAGCAAGGGCTGCTCCCTGCATATATTTCCATCAAATTACCAGAGACAGAGCTGTGCCCTAGATTGCACAATGGCATCACTGCTCTGCTAATTGCTTAGAATTCTGAGAACTCCAAATGCTGAGCTCCAAACCCCCAGGCTTCTTTCTTCTCCCACTCACTCCCGCCATGGTTGGTGTTCTTAGTGAAAAGTTATTTTGACTCCCTACCCAAAATAAAGGAAGGAGGTCAGCTTGCTGAAGCAACCTTGTCGCCAGTTAAACCTTGCTCTGCTGGTCACTAGCTGTGTGACCTTGGGCAAGTCAGTTAACCTCCCTTGGCCCCCCAGGTACATTGTTAAAGAGGGGAAGTAGCAGCGCTTCTCGCTTAGATCTGTGAGGACGCTGAGATGAAATAATTCTTTGGAGGCACTTAGCACAGTGCCTGGCACAAGGTAAGTGTCAGAAAAGGTTGTCATTCTCAGGATGGTGGACCTGACCTCATTTAAAGTGCCTGTCATTATCTTGCTAGAGCTGGGCATCAACGTTAGTGTGAGATGAGACTCACTTTCATTCATTGAAAAGGTTCTGCTTAGCTAGATGGACAAATACAAAAATAAAAAAATAAAAAAAAAACAGTAAGAGAGACCAAAAATCACAGCTCTCCAAAGTCAGAACAAGCCTCAGAGGTGGTTAACCTTTATCTTCCACGCAAAACCAGAAACACTTTTGCATTATTGCTGAAGGGTAGGTGCCTCACTCTTCCAGGGAATGTGGCAAGTTGAACCTTCTTATTTTCTGACCATCAATGGAATCTGACAATCTGAACGCTGCCCCGTGGGTCCTGGTTCTGTTTTCTGAAATAATACCCTGTGATGATCTTGCTGGTAGTTCTTCAGCCATCTCAAGATTGTCCTTCCAAGCCAAACACCTTGCCTCGGTGCCCATTTATCACCCTCCTCACTTTTCTCAGAAGATGAACAGTTGGTCAGTGCCCATATTAAAAAGGGGAGCCCAGAAGAGAAATGTGACACTCTAGACCTCATCAGACCAATGAGTTCGAGGTGACTTTTTTGGTTCTAAAAAACTTAAGGGCCATTTTTCCTTCACCACAGTCTGATGTTGCACTGTAAGCAAAGGCAGCTCCCAGATCTTTCTCACACAAACTGCTTTTAAACTAGATACACCCATCCTAGCTAGTTGTGATTCAATCTTTTGGTAGATAAAGAAAACCGAATGGCTTGATTTTTCAATGTCTTCCATCCTTTTGATGATTGAGTAGTTCGTGTGATCCTTTCTGTTTCTAGCTACCTGGAAATAGATCTCTACTGTTCCTGATATATAGGAAGCAAGCGGGGGGAAATTTCCTTAGCTGTCAGATGAGATACAGAGAAAATGACCATTAAAAGTGTTTTATTTGAGAAACTGAATTGATGATGCAGGTTCCACTCTTCAGGCCAGGCTTCTCCGCCAGTAGGGACATTCTCCCAATATTATAAGTATTTGCTGCTGGCCTCTGAGAGAGGAAGAAGATTCTCTAGATAGATTAGGGGCTTGCATTGTGACTCCAGAGTTAGGTCCACAATTGGAAACAGTCTGTTGAATTATGGCAAATCTCAGACAATAGCATGGAACAGAAGGTACAAATCTACCTCTTCAACATGCATGTTAAGCTGAAAACTCAGGAATAAAAATTTTTGCTTCATTTTTGCAACTAAGAGGTGCAGGGAGCTGACAGATGGGGAGGAAAACACTGACTTATAATGACTGAATCAGGGAGGGCTGGCTCTGCCTGCAGTCACTAAAATAATGGCAGAGTCCCTGAAGATGGCTCTAGGCCTGGCCATCTGTTCTGAACTTGACCCCGGGGAGGTTAAAGGTCATTTTAATGAGATCTCCTGGCTCCCACTGACTGTTCAGTTTTGCCCATCTCCAAGACTGTGAACACAGTCTTTTAACTAATACTCTCACCTAATTTTATATTTCAATTAGTTAAAATCATCTTCAAGGTAGGAGAAGGCAGGAATTACTCCCATTTGGTAATAGGGAAATGAGACCCCAAAGGCTGTCTTGCCTCTAGTGTACCCCATATTAGTAGCCCAGGACCCTTTCTATCGTGATGCTGTTGTCTCTGAAGTCTCAAGTGAAGTGTAGTTAATGGTTGTAAGTAGAGTCGAATGGGCCCAAGATTCAAGAATGGAGAATTCAGCCTCCTTTGGGTAAATCCCTGCAAACACTATTACTCCTAATAGCTCACCCAGAATGGCCTGAGGAAGATGGCAAGTGAAGGCCGGGCATGCCAGATCAGTGGCAGAAGCTGCTGTGAAATGCTATGATGGGCCCTACTACACTTCAAGCCAAGGCCAAAGCCTCTGGGTCGGCCCTATGACTCTCTAACTTTATCTCCAGCTTCCAACACCCCTCCATGGCCTCACACCCTCTGCCTGACCTTTGCTCACCCATATTCTAGCCACTCTGGCCTCCTTGCTGCCGGCCAGTCAGACTCACCCCAGGGACATTGCCTAGGCTGACACACTCTTCCCTGGAGGCCCGTAACTGCTCCCTTCCTCACCTGCCCCAAGCCTCTTCTCAGATGTCACACCCTCAGGACAGTCCCCAAGCACTGCATTTAAAACTGCAGCTGGCCTCTCCTCAAAAGACCCAGCCCACCTTATACTGCACTGAAGTTTGCTTTTATAGCACACGACATTCTATTCTAACCTACTAAATAATTTACCTCCTGTATAAGTTGTCTCTTACCTGTCCCCCTTGCTAGAATACAGGAGAGTAGAAAGAGAGATTTTTGTTTTAGGCACTGGTAGGTCTCAAATACAGACTCTCCCACTAGAGAGACTCTCCCAATACAGAAAGCAACTCCTAGCACATGCTACACAACCAACAGGTTGCTGTGGTCGCCACTGATATGTTAGGATCTGAGCAGACTTTTCAGCCCAGGCTGGACTCAGCTCAGCAAATAGCAGAAGGGAGCAGATTGAGCGGGGTGTTTGATCCCTCTGCTTTTGTGCTCAGCACCCCTGGATTCCATTTGTTTTCTCCCGTCAACCAAATCCTGTTTCTCATTCGCGTGGAAACTACACAGCATCTTGGGGGACAGCCTCACTCATCCTGGAGCACCTCGTGCCTGTGGGTTGATGTGTAGCCCATTCCAACCTAGGTCACCTGCTCCTGTCAGGCCTAACTGCTCCGTCTAAGAGGTCATAATACCCTTTGTCAATTTCCTTCCAAAGAATGCCAAGTTCTCCATGAAGAAAGAAGCTCCTTTTGTCCTGGAGACATCTGAAATTGGCTCAGATCTGTTTGCAGGCGTAGAAGCCAAAGGGTTAAGTGTTAGGTGAGTATTTTCCCTCTGTGTTATTATTTTTAAATACAAAGGTGAGTATTTTCCCTCTGTGTTATTATTTTTAAATACAAAGTGGGGGGGGGGGAGGACCAACCAAGAGACTTTGTGCTTGCCAGATAATTCTACAACACTGGGTTCTCTGGCTCTGCTTTATTTCCAGGTTTAAAGTGGTTTTGAACAGCTGTTGGGCCACACCTTCGGCCGACTTCATGTACCCCTTGCAGTGGCAACTCATCAACAAGGGGTAGGTTCACTCTGGAGTGAGGAGTGGGAACATGCCGACCAGGCTCTCTGGCTCAGGCAGGCTTGGAAGGAAGAGGTGAACCTGTTGGTGACAGGCTCTGTCTTCCAGGCTGAGGACTAGACTAAGTACCAGGTACTGCTCTGAGAGCATTTGCCTCACAACAGGTAGGTATTATTACTGTCACCCCATTTACATAAGAGGAAACTGAGGCACGGGAGGATTAGACACTGTCACATCGTGTGTGTGCTCGTACATGTGAGCATGCGTGTGCATGTGTGTTCATGGGTAAATGGCCAAGGTTCAAATCCAGTCAGTCTTACTCCAGACCCCTGGTGGTATTATATTAGATAATTCATGTAAAAAGCATAGCACATAGTAGCCAATTGATTAAAATAATATTGCTTTTATATTAATTCAGTAGATAATGAGGAGCACGTATAATTTTTTAGGAGAGAACTAAAGTACTGGGGTTGCACCCTTGAAAGACGAATCTGGGTGGTGTAGGTGTCTTAGAAATAGTACATGGGAGCTGGAAAGACCAGATTGGAGACCAGGGTTGCACTGTGCCTCCAACAGGAGAGATAAGACCTGACAGGCTGTAGCCAAGTAAATGGAAAGGTCACCCAAGGGAGGGGCAGGGATAAATATTTAGCAACCAGTTGGCTTTGGGGTGGAGGGAAGGACAGAAGGCATCTGAGGAATAGGTGACCAACATGGATTTGTATTAAGCCGGGGATTACAAAGGTGAAGGGATTGTTGACTGCTGACTGTTGGAGAAGGGGTTTCTGGAAGAAGGAGTTTGGATTCTCCTTGAGTTCCCATGACCACTGAGATGACACTGACAACTGCTTGCAAGTACTTGGAGTTATAATGTTGGCGGCTGACTAGACGAGAGCCGTGGGCATTAGCCACACACAATGGACAATAAGCCCGGAAGAGACCATTCCCCAGAGCAGAAACCAGGGAGCCTGTGTTGTCACCGAACCCTTCAGGCTGTATCAACATTGGGGTGGGGACAAAGATGATTAGCTAATAAGGGGAGCCACTCTAGACCTTTATTTTATTTAACCAACACTGACATACTTACATAACATACCAAACACATTCCAGGCGCTTTACAACCATTCATTTAAATTTCTTTAACACCACCCCCCATAACATACATGGTATTCATAAGCATGTTTTTATTTGTTTTAAGTATCTATATTTAAAGGTTTACTTTTATTTATTTATGTCTAGAAGAACTGGGGTGTAGGCCAGAGAGAAAGGATTCACCAGAGACAGAGTGGGGAGCAGAACCGGCAGCTCTGTGGAAACACATTGCTGAGGGGAGCAGTGGGCCAGACAGGATGGGGTCTGCTGCACCATATGGGTCAGTTCCCTGGCTGGGGATTGAACCCACACCCCTATGGCTGGCAATAGCTTAATAGCACTGAGACTTTAACCCCTGCACCACCAGGAAGGCCCATAAAAATCATGATTTTATATATGAGAAAACCGAGGCATAGACAGGTCTAGAAACTTGCCCAAAGCCTCCAGCTAGTATGGGAACGGCTGAGCAGGTTGAAGGGAGGCAGCGCCATGGCCCGAGCAGCCTGGGAAGACAGGTCAGCACAGCCACATGAGAACTCCCAGAGCTCCCTGCGAAAGGGGAGCTGGGTCTGGGTGCTCACTGCACTTCTGTCACTGAATGACTGACTTAGGCTCTGTCGACAAGGTGCAGTCAGATGACTTCAAGGAGATTATGGGATAAATTCTTGACCTCCAGGTCCTGAATTACCATCAGACCCTGGGGAAGTTTCAGGACAACACAGAGCACAGCCAAATGGAAGAAACCCCAAGCTACTTCCATATTCTGCCTGCTTGAAGTAGCTCCGTGAGGCTGGAGAGACAGGCACCAGGTTCATTAGCAAAGGGGAGGATGAGCTGGCCCGTGACCACAGCCTCCCACCCACCGTTGGCTTCAAAAGATTCCCTGGGCCTTTCTGAGGAAAAACCTGGTTTTCAGAAGTGCTTGGAGAGATTAAATAGAAGGAATTTTAGTTTGCGGTGGGGAAAGAGAGTCCAGTGGTGATGGCGTGAAGATCTCCCTGTGGGCTGTAGAGAGACCTGGCAGCGAGGGGCAGAGGCATCACGGGCCTGCCCAGGACTTGGCTCGAGCCCCACAGAGCTCTGTTTACATTATTTTCCATTGCTGACACCAGGCCTTGGCCACCTCACCCTCAAGGAGCTATTTTAAGGACTCGCATTTTGAGTTCATACAAGGATGTCGGGTTTGTTGACCAAACAGTCCTGCAAGAGTCTTGTTTCACAACTCGGAAAAATGCCTCTGGTTCCGACAGTGCGCTGAGGCCGCCACACAGCCCAGTTTCTGACCCCTGGTCCAGAGAGGAAGCCCCGTGCTCGCTCCTTATTTCACTCGCTGACCCTCCGAGTTAACCTTGCTTCTCTGTGCATTGCGGGGTGTTCCATAGCACCCTGGGCCCCACTCCCCAGATACCTGTAGCACCTCCCTCTGTCATGACACCCACCACGCCCAGAGTGACACCCCCTCCCCCGGCTGAGAAACCCTGTCTCGGACACCCCTATCCATCTGTATTACCCTTTCTTCTTTTACTACCAGCTGTGACCTTGGGACTTCCCAAGATTACTTTCCCATAGAGAATGGAAAATACATAAAGATACGAAGAAGAGAAAATAAACTGTCCACCATGTCACCATTGGTTGTTGCCAACAGCCAGTGACAATTAGATAGTACCCTTCCAGTCACTTTGTCTCCTATCACAGCACAATCACAGCGTGACAAAGAAAGACGTGGCATTTGAGCAGTACCAGGCTGAATTCCAATCCTAATGGCAAAATCTTGAGATGCCCAGAAAGGCCTGGTGTGCTGGGCCTCTGGGCTCTTTGCCCTCAACCTGAAGGGGACTCAGCCTGCTCTCTCCTAGCCCTCAGGGCTTTCGCTAGAGGGATTGTGCTTCTTAGGCACAAGCATGTGGTGTCTCGGCTTCTCTGGTCCCCCGCAGCTGCTCCTGCTTGTAGAATGGGGGTGTCCACACCTTTCTCGTAGCTTCTCAAGGTGACCTCAGCGCTTGAGGGTCAGTGAGGTGTGGGAGGACAGCCCACTAAGGGGACGTCCAGGAGGCTGTTGCTGTATATGAATTTGCCTCAGAGACCCCACCTTTGTTCAGCTTTGTGATGTTCTCTCTCCGCCCTCCCCCCCCACCCGTGTTTCAGCTGCCCCACTGACGAGACAGTCCTCGTGCATGACAACGGGAAGGATCACCGAGCCACCTTCCAGTTTAATGCCTTCCGGTTCCAGAACATCCCCAAACTCTCGAAGGTGTGGCTACACTGTGAGACATTCATTTGTGACAGCGAGAAGCTCTCCTGCCCCGTGGTGAGCCCCCTCATGCACGATGTTACCCCAGGGGGCCGGTATTTGAGAAGCTGTATTTTTAGCTGGGGAATAGTCACCATGCCAGTGTGGGTGTGTGCTGAGGGCATTCTAGGGGAAAGGGGTACAGGCACCTGCCCACTGTGCCACCAACAAGCTACGTGGACCTGTCACTTAACCACTGGAGACTGCTTTTCTGCTCTTTAAAGGTAGAGTGGTGAAAGATAAGCAGTGATCAGACTCCCTTGTCAGACAGCAATATTAGGTGCAATGAAAGTGATGACAGACAAGGAAATGTTATGAACAACTTCAAAGCGCCAGGGAAATTAAAAATATAGGTAGTAACAATAGGCTTTTGCAGGAAGTCAAAAAAGTAGTTATGTTCAGTGGCTCACTAGGCAGCCCAAGGGTCTACATCTGGGACTTGAGATGGACCAGGGAGATGCTACCACAGTTCCCGACAGAGGTCACAGCTGCCCTGGTAAGAGGACGGTGACTCCAGCTGGCAGACCTGCAGGTATAGCTCAGTCAGAATCCGTTCCCCCATGTATGGCCACCAAGAAATCCTGCACAATCAATCAGCACACATAGTGAATTGTTAGGGAGGCAAATTTCTGAACCCATTCCTAAGCCTTTTAGGGATTCCGAGGCACCCTCAGATTTGAGAACCACACTGCCCAAGCTCAATCCCAAGCTGTCACCTCCTCTGGTCTGTTTGGAGCAGAAACCCCATGAGAGGGGAGTGTTCCTGATGAAGATAGCTAGCTCGCAGCCTGTGGGACCAACAGAAATCAGCCCACAGTCTGTCTCTTTTGATTCATTTGGCCAGAAAATGGCCACTCACAAGCACAAATAGGGAAAGGAAAGAAGCAGAGACTGCACAATTGATGGAGAATCATTCTCGGCCCTCTGAGGGGGGAGGGGCAGAAAATGAACCAGAACACGTTTTTAAGGACCCACTTCTCACATCATGGTGGTGTCACAGGTAGCCACGGCTGTACTTCTAGCGAAGGACATGGGGCCCCCACCTCCCTCATGCAGGGAGCTCAGCCGGTCAGACATCCAGCTTGAAGAGTTCATGGTTTGCTTCCCGTTCTCATGTTGAAGAAGGGATAAAAAAGTCCCTTTGGGTTATAAAAAATGTGAGGTTACTAAGAGTATCTATGGACTGAAAACTTTGACTGCACACATTTGTGACATGGAGTTTTAATGTTTATCTCTCTTTGCTGTCCTGTGTTCCCTTCTCACCCCAACTTCCCGGCCTTCCCCTCCCCCCTCCCCACCCCTCCTACTTTTCCACTCCTCACCCCTCACCTCTCCACCCCTCACATCCACCCCCTCACCTGCCCACCCCTCACCTCTCTGCCCCTCACATCCACCCCCTCACCTGCCCACCCCTCACCTCTCTGCACTTCCAGACCTGTGACAAGCGCAAGCGGCTTTTCCGGGACCAGACAGGGGGCATCCTGGTGGTGGAGTTCTCCCTGCCCAGTAAGCCTCTGGGGTTCCCTCGCCTGGGCTTGAGCATTTTACGAGTTGCCAAACCAGCTGTGCCTGTGGACAGAGCCTTCAGGTTCCCCTGGGGTAGAGGGGTGTAGCTCAGGGAGTTCAGGTTTGTTGATAACCCAGGAAAGCTCTCTGCAGCCTAAGTTCCTGTGCCCCTAAAGAATGAGGAAGTGCTCACTCTGGAGCCTGCAGTCAGTCAGGGATAACAATAGAAAACTAAAGTGCTGGCAATGTCCAGCCTGGGTCAACAAACTTCAGGCAGCCAAAGCTGGGCCTGCAGAAGGCAGCTGGGTTTCTGGAACACAGGAGCACCCCCAGAATGCACTGTTCAGCAAGGAGCTGTTAAGTGACAGGGAGGGGTGCGGCCTGTTAATCGTGGGGGTGGGGAAGGCTGGGAAGAGATGGGGAGGCTAAGACAAAGGAGACGCCTACCAGTGCCTTAGGGGAGACTCTTAGGGTCACCTTTAAGAGTGACCTGAGGTGAGCAATACGTGGGTGAAGTCTGAGAGTTCCGTAGCTCTCCTTTAGAGGACTTTCAAGAACTACAGGCCTGAAGGTCGAACTCCAGCTGCTATCTGATTTTGTGTGGTCTGCAAGCTTTCATCAGTTTTTACCCTTTAGCATGATGAAAAAATAAATAAATAAAATCAGAAGAACAAAATTTCATGACACATGAAATTCCAGCTGTAGTGACAATGAATTGGTTTGGGGGAGCATCCACAGCTGCTCTCACACCACAAAGACAGCCTCAATTAGCAGCACTTGAGATCAGCTGGCCCCTAGCCGGAAGCATTTTCTCTCTGACCCTTTCCAGAAAGTTCACCAACCCCTGGCTGCCTTAAAGCCCAGGTGAAAATGGGGTGAGATGAAGCCTTTGCAAACCCCTATGCACGCTGTCCCAAACACATCTGGGACCCTGGGTTCATCGTGGGGGACCGTCAGGTATGTGTTTAGAACCAAAGATGTAGCCTTCTCTTTCCACAAATTTGCTTACACCTTCTGCATTCCCTCTTTTTACACTTTACAGGCAGGGCAGTTTCCAGTCTCTCCAGCTTCTCAGGTAAGGAAAAGACACACTTGTGGGAAATACTCTCATTTAAAAGCACCAGGGAGTGGCGCTTTCATCATGTGGATGAATGTCTCTAATGCAGCTTACCTTTGGCCCCAGCAAAGAGTTTAGGAATTAGTCACACCTTACAGCACACCTGAGTGAGACAGAGGGTGGAAGTCGAAAGGTCTCTCTGGAGTCAGCCCCTGAGCTCTCAAGGTTGAGGGGGGCCTCAGTAAATTGGATGAAACAAAATTGGAGCTCACTTCCCAAAGCAAAGTCCCGCAGCTAAACATCAGCAGGTGACTCTGCTCAGATTCCTGCACTTAGTGAATGTGACTTCAACACGCTGCTCAACCCACAAGGAGCTCTGAGTCCCTGCTATAACTCTACCCTTCATCAACAGAGAACTTAGACTCGCTTGCCCTTCCGATGACATAGCTGGGCTAATAACTGCCCTATCACATGCAGCTGTTGTATGAATTAAATATTACGACGCAGGGGGCCAAGCAATGCCCAGCACCCAGCCAGCATCAGGAAGGATCAGCTGTAATTACTGACTGCCCAGGGCACTATTCCAGACTGCCCGGCTACTGCTGCAAAGCCGGAAGCCTCTTCACTTCCTGATTTGTGTGGTCTGTGGGGGGTGGAGGTGGGCAATGGAGAGAGAAGAGCCAGGGAAGCTCACAGAAGAAAACTTTCAACTGTCACCCCAGATCCTACCTGAACGGTGGCAAAAGGCAGCAGCACAAGGAGAGGGGGAAAGCTGTTCTCGATCGCAACACATTCACAGGTGTTCACTTTGCTTTCGCAAGGAGCGGAAATCATGCAAAGCGGCTTTTTTTAAGTTCCCACTCCTAGATTCTCATTCCTTTCTTTCTTTCTTTCTTTCGTTTTTTTTTTTTTAAGATTTATTTATTCATTCGTACAGAACTGGGGTACAGGCCAGACATGTGGAGGGTGAGAGGATTCACCAGAGACAGAGGGGGAAGCAGAACAGACAGATCGACTAAGTACACTGCTGAGGGGAGCAGTGGGCGGGTCAGGAGAGGTCTGCTGCGCCATGTGGTCACCTCCGGGGCAGGCGGGGATCGAACTCATGCTGAAGTGGCTTAAGCTTCTCAGTGTTGTGCTTTAACCTGCTGCGCCACCAGGGAGGGCCACTTTCTTTTGTTTTTTAGATTGATTTATTTGTGCATACAGAACTAGGGTACAGGCCAGAGGTGCAGGGGCGGTGTAAGGATTCACCAGAGACAGAGTGGGGAGCAGAACAGGCAGATCGACAAAGTACACTACTGAGGGGAGCAGGGGCGGGTCAGGAGAGGTCTGCCATGTGGGTCAGCTCCAGGGCGGGGATCGAACTAGCACTGAAGCGGCTGCGGCTAGCTTGCAATGCTGCGTCCTAACCCACTGCGCCACCAGGGAGGGCCCAATTCTCATTTCTAAAGGAAGTTCGACAGTGAAAGCCCCACCATGAAATGCCATCCCTCTGGTAGTGAAGCTCAGGTGTCCACTTGTCAGGGTCCACACCAGGCTTATCTGCTGGGCTCTCTGAACTGCTAAAGTGAGGTACAGAGACTGAAAGCGGGAACAGAAAAGACTTTGTATACAATGTGCAGAGATTCATGGCAACCTGCTTGATTCCCTTGAGCTGACTTTTGTTGATTCTTGTTGAGTTATCCTGGCTCCTCATAGAACAATTCTGTCTCCTGTCCCCCCTGCTCCACAGATGTCCTCTACCACTTGGTCGTGATGCTGGGGATGCGTGCGGTGCTATAGGAGAGGGCTGGCGGGCAGCGGCCACTCTTCCTCCCAGGACCAACTAGCTCCTCGGTTCATTTGCTGCCCAAAGAACAGAACAAGCAGGAGACCGTGTTGTTGGGCAGCAGAGACTAAAGCTTTGCCAAATTCATGTTCAGTGATTTGGGGGAATTTCGGTGATTGTTTTCCTTTGGTCTCTACTTCCCTTGTTCCTTCCTGTGGATCTTAGAACCTATAGCAGGTGCACTGCAGTTGCCCGGGGACAGCCACAGTCACCAGAGGAAGCTGGTGTCATGGGTGCTGTGAGACGTAGCAAGGACTGGGGCTGGGCCACCAGGCAGACACCTGCAGTCTTTCAGCAACATGGAAATCAGAGTGAAATATGGTAGCTTCGTTCACACCTAAGTAATATGAAGAAAAGTGATTCTCGAGACTCCCCAAGTGCTGACCTAATTTGCTTTGTGGTAGGGTTTCTTTAATATGCATAGACATGTTGTAGATATAAACTCCTTATCTTTATAATTGGCATGTATTTCTAGAACAACAAAAAAAATTAAATAGGAATAAAGCCACAAAAAGAATGAAACTCACATTATCATGAACTCAGTTTCATAACATGGCCTGGTGTAAGCGAAACTGTAGCTTGACGTGTGACTACAGAGTGACAGACAGGTTCTCAGAAGCTTGTCTGCTGCCCTGTGCCTTGAAGCTCTGTGTGCCCTGCTAAGGCATCTTCATTTGTGCAGAACGACCTGATCATCCTTAGCCTTTACTGGAACATTCAAGCCCATATTTGTTTTTGCCTCATTAACTTAGGATCCTTAGAAACAAACAAACAAATCAAAAACCACCATTGCAAATATGGCCGACTACACTGTCGGTCCAGAGTCTGGTGATACCAACGTTCTACATAGTCGATAAACAAAAGCTTAATGAGCCAACCCTGGAGGAGAATTGACAGATCTTGAGACTACACCATTGACCCCAGATTGAGGTGAGAAGCTGGAGTGTGATCACCAGAAGTCATACAGAACTCTCAGTACAGGTCTGTTTGTGTCTACACTTCAGGATTTTGATAAGTGTGGAGATCTCTGTAGTCTGATGAGTCTTTTTTTTTTTTTTACAACTTTGTTAATGAGCTTAGAAATGGAATGAGTTTTCAAATCTCTGTTAACATGAAGTGCACGTTTGTTTAGCATTAAGCTAGATTAAAATGACTCAAGCTAGGCTTGACTGTCTCAAGACTGGTGCTCCAGCCAGCCTGGGGTTTCTTCTTTCTGTAAATTCAGAATCCTTGTAGCCAGGAAGAACAAAAAATTTAATTTATTAGTTCTAATGCAAAACTCCTAAATAGCATGTGCATGTAAAACAACATTGTATTAGCTTTGCTGTGTTTTTTCCTTGTTTAATGATCTTACATTTACCTGGTGCTATGAAATAAATAAAATGCCTTAAGATAAGAACCAATGATGATAGCAAGCAGTGTTGATTTCTCGTGTTAACAGCCCATTCCTCAACCTTCTCAGGAGTTCCTATAGCCGGGAACTCACACTGTACCACCGCCTCTTGAATATTCTAACACACATTTATATTTCCAAAATTTCAGAATTGAATTTCAGATGTAAAGGAATAAACCCGTATCATATGCTAAATGTCTGGAGAGAGCAGCTTTTTGACCATTCCTGTCTCTAAAGCTCTAATGTCTATCACCAAAGACTGGGGGTTCCTTGACCTAAAGTAACCAACATTCCCATGATACTTGGTTGCTCTTCATGGCTTATAACCTCTTTCTTAGGAAACTAAGAAAAAGCATTCTCGAAACAATCACTTTTGTAAATTCTCGTTAGTGCTAAACATAAAACAGACATTTAGAGGAGGAAAGTGTATATTCTTCCTTAGGTATACTTGGTGCACTTAGAAAAATTGCTAGATATAGAGTTTAGGAAATTGCTCTTATTAAAATTACTGGTTATGCACCCTGAGACACTATCTCTCTCTATAGTTAGATGAATGAATGGTAGCTCCTAGACACAGGGGTAGATAGCAAGATATAAATAGAACTACAGCTCTAAGGATGTGGCTGTTGTATATTTATCAATGGATCACTAGATATACATGATAGAAGTGTGTGTACTCAGTATGTACAATGTATGTGTGTACATATGTGTGAATGTGTATGACATACTTGTAGTTAGTGTACATATGGATGCCAAATGTTTGTTATGATGTTCAATGAAAGAGACAGGTGTTGGGCCCTCCCTGGTGGTGCAACGGGTTAAAGCACAGCACTAAGAAGCTTAAGCCACTTCCGCATGAGTTCGATTCCCGCCTGCCCCGGAGGTGACCACATGGTGCGGCAGACCTCTCCTGACCTGCCCGCTGCTCCCCTCAGCAGTTTACTTCGTCAATCTGCCTGTTCTGCTTCAGCAGTTTACTTCGTCAATCTGCCTGTTCTGTCTCTAGTGAAGCCTCTCACCCTCCGCATCTCTGGCCTGTACCCCAGTTCTGTATGAATAAATAAATCTTTTAAAAAAAGAAAGAGACAGGTGTTATAAAGTATTACATGAATATAATTTGGATAAACAGGTGGGAGAGGGCTGGAAGGGGAAAGATGCAGACCATACAAACAGGAAGGTGGGATAATAGATAGTGACTAGTTCCCACCCCACTTCTATGTATCACTTTCTCATGTTCTTTTAAGGTAACATATTGGATGGCTGAGTCACTTCTGTAGCCAAATCTCCTCCATTTTTGCAACAGTAAATACACACTTGTGGGCTAAAAATGAGCTAAATAGAATTAAACCTGGACCACCCTCTTGCATTCCCTTTCCAGGGCTATTAATGCCCTAAGTCACATCTCTCCCTAGGATTAACTGTTAACTGCTAACTGACTACCTGCGTTCCTGGAAACCTGGCAAACTGATTGTATTACTTTCCTATACAATACCCTGTGTCTATCTGAGTTGACAGTGGATCAGAAACACACACCCTGTGATGGCTGAGAAAGCACCTGTTGGGAAAGTCGCACACCTTGCCTCTTGTCACCCAGGCTGCCCAGCACCTGCTCAGACCTGGAGGTGGGAATCCCTGACCCCCTCACAGGGTGCCGGATGCTTTGCGGTGCTGATCCTGCCAACGTCCTTGATGGCCATCTCAATTAAAACTCCGTCAAGTGAAGACAGTTCTCATGATTCATAGTTCGGCTTTTGGGGGCTGAGCAAAAGACCAGGTCACATTTCTATACAGACTTCTCTTGTCCTGTATATGGCATCACTACCAGTTTTGCCTCCTCTCCAACTAAAGTGAGCACGAAAGATCAAGGATAGCTGAATGTTCTCTGATGTCCCCCGGGGTTGGTATTTGGCACAGAGTAAATGCTCAATAAATGGTGCTTGAATTAATGAAAAGTTCAGAGTAGATGAGTGGGTGGGTGGGTGGATGGAGACTTTGTTCCCATTCATAGATAAGCAAAGTATTGGAGACCTAAAAGCTCTGATCCCAAACAAGGGAAGAAATTGTGCACCATGACAAGATTTTGAACCACTGTTTCTTCACTGCGGTAGAGAGGGAGTCTTCTTTTCTCCTTCGTATTAGTGACTCTGCCTTCCCTCCTAAGAATCAGTATATGGTTCTCAGTCCTTAGACTGAAGGCCTGTGGGGAGGAGCAGAGCACAGCACAATGCCAATGGAACCATGTTCTAGAAAAGAGTCAGCAAGTTCACGGAGCCCAGTTGCCCACCTCTGGACAGAGAAAAAGCCCCATGGATGGCCACACTTAGGAACTCAGTGGAGATGGGACTGTTGGAGAAAACACTTGTCTTGCCCTAATTTATTATCTTTCTTCCTGAAGAAAGGCAAGAGTTTCAAACGCTGTGGGAGGCTCTCAACTAATCAAAACACTAGTTTATTTCTCTCTATAGAGCTCTAAAAATGTAAAAATAAAAAGACAGCTCAGGGGTCTGATAAGACAGGAACCATTCCTGGGTCTCAATGATTTTCATCTTCAGTATAGGAAATTCAACAGAAAAAGGTCTCAAACACCATGCAGCATTCCAGTGACTCAAGCCTTATTCTGGGATAACCACCAAAGGTATGCCAGGGATAAAGAAGCACTGGGATGCATTAGCAGGTCACTACATCCCGAGAACCACAGCATGAACCAACAGGAAATCCTATTCTTCATGTAGAGGGGAATATATTCATGGCAGAGCCAATGGGATTATCTTGGTCTGCTGGAGATTAAAAACAAAGTCAGCACTTCCTAGTGAATGAAAATCCTACTGAAGACCTGAGCCATGGTTGCGTCTTTTCTTCAGTGAATAGGAGAGAAATCAAGCAATAAATTGAGAATAAGATGCCATCCATTTGGAAGCTGCCCTCCAGAGGAAGTCGAGCTCAGGACCAGGTAACTTTGTGACTGACCGCCAGGGTCCTGCCTGCCTGGCGTTACCTGTCCATTGGGTATCACTTAGCGCTGATCCCCTCCACATGTTCCTGAGATACCCCCTGATGAGGGATCCCAGATCCTTACAAGCTGACTAGCTGGTAAGGAAGACAAGCACACCAGGTTAGCTAGCAGTCACCTTGCAGAGGACCGTGGGGGGTGATCATCCGGCTACAGGCCCTGACCTCCCACCTTCCTCCTCCAGATTGATGTTGGGTTCTGTACAGATTTGCAAGCTAATGGGCCAGAAACATCTGCAACTAGAGGAGGCTCCCTGAACGGGCCGACCAGCCTCTAGGAGCGAAATCCGCTGCAGAAAAGACGGGCTACCGAGCTCCCAGTTAAACGGCGCCCCCTACTGGGGACTTACTAAGTGCGCATGAACTACACCCTTCAAGGGGCTTTTTTCAGTGCATCCACAGAAAAGTCCCACAGACTTTCATGGGATCCCATGAACATCTTTAAAGAAAATACTCACCTCAGAAGATTTCTGGGGCTTTATCTTCCTCCTCAGTAAGTGGAATTGTGAAGTCTTCTTTACCTCTCAACCAGAAAGTCGTATGTTCACCTTC